AAACAAACAAACAAACAAAAAAAACCCAATAGCTGCCCTGTGTCCTCCCCTTCAACTTTGGCCTGGATATCCATGAGGTTTTCTAGGAATCTCGGGAGGCGTCTGGGTCCCAAGCCTTAATTTTTGCAACTGTCATCAGCTCAGGAAACGTTTACTGAACGCTGTGCGTGCCTGGCTCTGGGTAGATGTAGGCGGTTGGTGAACAAAGTAACTGCTCATCTGAAGTAACTTCCCATCCGCTGGGACATCGCAGCCCAGGCGCGACAGATACCGAGGCCTCTCTCCTTCTCTGGGGCTGGGGGTGTGTGTGTCACAGGCTGAGCCACCACGCCTTTGCAGTGTCTTTCTAGCAGTTCCGAAGGCAGGGGAAGTGTGGGGAAGACGTTCTGTACGGAGTCAGGACCACTCTCTCCAAGACTGTTGCTATGTGCTTCCAGCACATGCCAATGCCTCTGCACCTTCTTAGGGCTGGCTCCAAACGGCCATCACTTAGGGCTTGCTGGAGGGGAGATGCTTGTGCGTTATTGTTTGTTTCTGTTTTTTTTTCTTTCTTTCTTTCTTTCTTTTTTGAGACAGGGTCTAGCTCTGCAGTTCAGTTTGGCCTTGAGCTCATTTTGTAGCCCAGGTTGGTCTCAAACTCACAAGGATCCTCCTGCCTCAGCCTCCCACGTGCCGGGATTACAGGCGTGTGTCACTATGCCCGGCTCTGTGCCTTATTGTGGTCTAGTTCCTACACAGTGGCCCGGAGCTGGGTTGTTTGGGCCTTGGTGCTAAGGTTTCCTGGCCAGGACACCACAGGACAGTGGAGTGGGATGGTGGTGCCAGGGGGCAGTGCCAGGTATCGGTGGTGTGACCTAAAACATCACTGTGCGACATGCCTGGAAGCATCACTTCCTGTGATTTTCAGGCCTTCTGCGGAGTCGGGCTCACCCCGCTGGGCTTGCACATCACTGCTGGGAATTTCTCTTGGTGCCCATTTCTGCAAGCTGGCTGCCTGCCCCTCAGCCCTGGGCTGTCAGACTGCACGGCCGAGAGCTGACCCTGCGTTTCGGATAAGATTCAGCTTCTGTTCCTTTGTCTAAATCAGGGGACCTCTGTTCAGTTGTCTCAGGCTTTCCGCACTGCTTAAGGAGGCTTCATACACAAGAACGGGTAGGTTCCCTCAACCTTCTGTTTCCGAATTGTGTCCCGAGTCACCCGGAATGCAACCATGAGCTCACAAGGCTGCTGACGCTCGACGTCTGCTGGACCCTGCATGGAGTAGCTGAGACCCAGCGTTAGCCCGGCCTGCACTACACGTCCATCTTTGCAGAACTGGGCTTGTGATGACTGCTGTGGTGAGAAGCAAGAACAAAAGCCAGTGCAAAACAGGAAGTGCGGGTGGCAGGGTCTCAGGTGACTCTAAGAATCTGAAGCTATGCAGAGCCCAACAGGCGTAAACATTAGCAACTGGATTTGAGAATGAAACTTTTTTAAAAAGTAATGAAATAAAAAAAAAATCTGCAGTACCGGTGATAAATAGACAATTTTTTATGGTATTGGG